TGTGACATCAGGATGAGAGGGGGACATTTAACAATGCACGACTACGATGGGAAGCTGCTTGTTAAAGCAGTTAGAGCAAAGAATCGACTCTATAAGGTGCATATGGCGTTGAAGAACTCGGCGCATCTACATCTGACGGAAACACGCGAGTCAAACATATGGCATGCCAGGATGGGACACATAAACCAAGAAACAATGAAGTCGATGATTCAAAGAGAATTAGTCTTGGGAGTCCCACAAATCACATTCGAGAAAGGAGTCTGCAGCTCTTGCTTGCTCGGGAAGCAAACGAGACAAGTATTCCCTCAAGCCTCTTCATATCGAGCAGCCAAGATACTCGAGCTCATACACGGAGACCTTTGCGGCCCAATAACACCGAGTACAATCACAGGAAACAAATATATTTTTGTACTCATCGATGACCACTTGCGATATATGTGGACGATACGATTGAAAGAAAAGAGTGATGCTTTCAATAGTTGAACAGGATGCATGAGTAAGCATTAAAACCCTCAGAACAGATAGAGGAGGAGAGTTTGTATCTCAAGATTTTAATGCTTTCTGCGAGGAATCAGGCATCAAGCGACATCTCATAGCGCCGTACACCCCGCAACAAAACGGCATTGTTGAAAGAAAGAACAGAACATCATTGGAGATGTCGCAGACTATTTTGAAGCATATGCAAGTTCCAAACTACTTGTGGGGTGAAGCAATAAGACATTCTACTTATCTGCTAAACAGAGTTGCGACAAGGGCACTTAAGGAGAAGACTCCGTATGAAGCTTTCAAGAATAAGAAGCCCATGATCAATCATCTTCGAGTCTTTGGATGTATCGGTTTCGCAAAGATGAATAAACCACATCTAAGAAGCTAGATGACAGATCATGGATGTTGGTTCATCTCGGAACAGAACCAGGGTCGAAGGCTTATCGTTAACTTGATCCACTGTCACAGAAAATAGTAGTAAGCAGAGATGTCATATTCGACGAGACAAAGGGATGGAACTGGAGCCATAATAACCACGCTCCAGTCGAAGATTTCACGGTTACTCTTGGTGAGTTCGGAAATCATGGAATACAAGAGGAGCTAGGGAGAGACTTCGGAGCAAAACAAACCGTCATGGGTGAATCTGGGGACTCGGACGAAGCGGATAACAGTGGTGACCTCGTGGCATCGCAAGAACACGAGCACGTTAATGACCAAACTGACTCTGTTCGAAGAAGCCCAGAAAAACAGAACTTCGGAAAACAGAGTAATGCAAGTAACCCAGAAAAACAGAGTGTAAGAAAACAGAGCATAGCTCCAGCTCCAGCCCTCCGACGGACAGAGTGAGAAAGCAATTTACCAACCTATTTACAGGACTATGTGCTACTTAATGAAGAAAAGGAAGATCTGATGCTACTCGCAGAGGCAGAAGGCGAGATGCTGTTATTGTGCTTAAACGATGAACTGAGAAACTTCCATGAAGCTAGCAAAGCGCGAGAATGGACACTGGCATGCGAAGATGAGATCCACTCTATCAAAAAGAACCACACATGGAATCTGGTGGATCTACCAAGTGGTGCTAATGCAATCGGACTAAAGTGGGTATTCAAGCTGAAACGGAATTCAGATGGTAGCATAAACAAGCATAAGGCTCGACTAATCGCAAAGGGATACGTAAAACAATACGGAGTTGATTTCGAGGAGGTCTTTTGCGCCAGTAGCACAGATAGAAACAATACGACTTCTGACCAACCTCACAGCTTCTAGTAGTTGGGAAATACATCACCTTGATGTAAAAACGGCGTTCCTTCATGGCGAGCTCAAATAAACGGTTTATGTCCCACAACCAGAGGGTTTCAATGTGAAAGGACAAGAAAGTAAGGTCTATAAACTCAACAAGGCTTTATACGGATTACGACAAGTGCCCAGAGCATAGAATAACAAACTGAATCAGAATCTTGTGGATCTGAAGTTTAAGAAGTTCGAAAGAGCCCTCGGTGTATCGAAAGGAAGAAAAAGGAAATCTTCTTGTTATAGCTGTCTATGTCGATGACTTGTTTGTAACAGAGACAAATGCAAACATTATTAACAGGTTCAAAGAAGAGATGGCGTCTAAATTTGAGATGAGCAATCTTGGGAAGATTGACAAACTATCTTGGATTGAAGTTTGTCAAAATGTTGGCGGAATGGTGCTAAATCAGAAGCTATATGCTGAGAAGATTTTGGAAGAAGCTGGAATGAAAGACTGCAATCCAGTTCACGTACCAATGGAGAGCGGATTGAAACTCGCCAAGTCAGAAGGTAAAAAAGAGATTGATGCCACCTGGTTCAGAAGAAACGTTGGATGCTTTCGCTATCTTCTTCATACAAGACCCGATTCGGCTTACAGTGTTGGGGTACTGAGTAGATTCATGCAGAGTCCTAGAGAGTCTCATGGCGTTGCTATGAAATAGTGCTTAAGGTATCTTCGAGGCACCACATCACTTGGTCTAACAATCGAGCGATCCAACTTGAAGATTTCGAAGATCATAGGTTATAGTGACAGTAGCCATAATGTCGATCCAGATGACGGAAAGAGCACGACAGGACATATCTTTTACCTTGGTGGAAGTACGATTACCTGGTGTTCACAGAAACAAGAAACTGTGGCCTTATCTTCATGTGAAGCTGAATTTATGGCAGGTACTGAAGCAGCAAGACAAGCAATCTGGCTCCAGGATCTGCTTATTGAGGTTACTGGAGTGCTTTGTGAAAGAGTGCTTATTCGTATTGATAACAAACCAGCAATTGATCTCACGAAGAACCCGGTGTTTCACGGTAGAAGCAAACACATTCACACACGTTACCATTTCATACATGCATGTGTTGAGAATGGGCAAATCGAAGTTGAGCACATTCCTGTTAATCAACAAAAGGCGGATATCACTTGGTAGGACCAAGTTTAAGGAGATGAGAGATCTCATTGGCATTAAGCAAAACGATTTCAAGCTTAAAGGGGAGATTGTTGAACTAAGCTCGAAATGAAGCTTGAGAAGCAAGCTATCCTAGTTCTATCAAGATAAGGATACCTAAGGTTTTTAGGATTAAAGGATAAAGTTTAGGAGTTATCTAATACATTTTCTAATTGAATTAGGATTTGTGTTGTTGTCTATATAAGAAGATGTCAAAGTTGTGACATAACTTATGAGAGATTGAGAGTTTAATGTTTTGAGTTATTTTCCTTAAGCTAATAAAAGAGTTATTCTTATTGATCTTTGAGTCTTTTAATTCTATAGTTCTTGGTGACAATTCAATATCTCCTACTTAGCATTTGCGGATGATATCATAATCCTCTTTGACGGAAAATCAGATTCCGTTCAAGGTATTACTTCCTCTCTGGAACAATTTAAAGATATTTCCGGTCTGTGCATAAATAGGGATAAAACGGATCTCTTTGTCGCAGGTTTGAACCCAGAGGAATCTGAAGCTCTTACTATCTTCGGTTTCCGAAGGGGTTCTCTCCTCATGAGATACATAGACTTCCTCTGATGCACCAAAAATTGAGAAAATCAGACTACTCTCCGCTCACTGACAAGATTAAAGCTAAGTTTAAGAGCTGGACAGTTAAACAGCTCTCCTTTGCCGGCCGCTTACAACTGATATCCTCAGTAATCTACGGTTTTGTAAATTTCTGGGTCTCAGCGTTCTCTCTCCCTAAGGGTTTCCGAAAAGAAATTGAAAAACTCTGCAATCTTTTCTTGTGGGCTGGGGACATTTTGACTCGTACCTCGGCAAAGGTCTCCTGGAATTAGATTAACCAAGGAATTAGATTAAGGTTAACTCAGGTTAACCAGGGAATTAGATTAAGGTTGGGTTTTGGTTCAGCTAACCGAAGGTCACACGTGTGTTGTTTTACACGTGAGACTGGTTGTTGTAAACGGGTGAGTTATAAAGCCTTATTGACTTCTTTTTTTGGGTTGTTCTTGATCTTGAGAGAGAGAAAGAGAGAGATTGTAATTGGAGACTTGATCGGAGCTCGAGTTTTGAGCTAGTGTTAGTGGATCCCGGGGAGAAACCTCCGGCGAGGCGTAAGGTACCATCTCGGTCCCGAACTCGTTAAATCTCTGTGTCCCGTTTTACTTTCTGTATGAGTTTCGAGTATCAATCGAAGACGATACAAGCATAGAATCGTACATCTCCCTCGCTCTGAATTGCAGATATTGATCAGGGTGTGGAATTTTCCTGAAAGCTTTAGTTCTGAGATAAAAAATTTCAGGAATATGCAAAAAGAAAGATTGAATTAATAATTAAACAAGTTAAACGATACTTGATGATCATAGTATTGGGCTTGCGATAAAGATAATAATAAATATATTGCAACCTTAACTACAACTACATTACGGAAGCATTCTCCCTCTCCTTCTTATGCTTCTTTTGTTTTGCTGCTATGCTAAGCAACCTCTAAATTAGATTAGCCGAGGAGCTGTGGCTGCTGGGCACGACTTCTTTCCTCTACAATATCTGATTTTCTTAGTCTCGTTCTCGTCTCTATCTCTTAGGTTAAGCATCTTCGGCAACTCCTGCTACCACAGAAGGTAGAATACAATTTAGTGATCTTCTTCAGCCAGGAATGAATAAGCAACAGACGCTATTCATGGACAAAGCAACGGGGCATTTGGACTTGATGAAATTTAATTACAACATAGATTTTTGGTGGTGTTTAGTTATTTAAATAAACTTTATTTAACAACAAAAATGGACCAATCAATTACTTTTTTATATTATAAATTACTTTTCTTTTTAATTGATGTATATCTTTTTTCAAATTTTTCTTTTCATTTTAGTTAGGTTTTTTTTTATTTTTTCTTCCTTTTTATTTTATTTACTTTTGTTTTATCTATTATATAAAAGTTTATTTGTGTCTTACAAAAGGGTGACACGTCAATCCCTTCTATGACACATCAGCAAATAATTTTTTTTGGGTGAAATTATCAATTACTTTAGTCAAATAAAAAAAAGTTTATGTCGAAACGTCTCTTCCCTCAATTCAATTGATTCTTATATTTTCTATGAAAAATTTGTTGAATTGGAACCCAAAAAACTTGTACTTACTAGATGTACTACAAAATCGAGAGAGAGATGAAGAAGGAGACGACGAGCATAGATGAATCGACCAGAGAGCAAGTTTGACGGCAACACCACTTTCGCCGGCAACACCACTTTCGCCGGCGGCGGTTTCATGCCTTCACAGACAACTACACAAGCGCCTGACTTCGCATCGTCCTCCAAGGTTTGGCCTCTCTAATTTTCTTCGCCATCGAGGAATTTGATAAATCCTTTCGCATTTTTGTGCTATTGAATATCTATCAGCGGTATTCAGATTCTACTGAAATACATAAAACTGCAAATTTTTTCTTCGGTCGCAGAAACACCCAGAAACGAAGGGTCACTCTTTTCGTCTTTCCTCAACCTCTTTTCATCGGTAATTGTGGATAATGGTAAAGACACGTTCAATCTATGCTAAGTTGTTCATGTCGTTGCTTCTTTTCGATTTCCCTGTTTTCTCACTTTCTTTTTGTTGGGTGACAATTGATGAAGGTTCTCTAGATCAGTTCTTGGCTGCCGCCATTGATGCTGCTCAAACAGGTAGATGCAACTGTCGGCAAACCCGTGTCAATTTGAGGGAGACTATCACTCAGCGAGCTGAGTTTGATTACTTACATAAGAAGCAGAGTGGAGGAGCGGGTCAGTACGGTAGGGTTACCGGGTGAGTATCTGAAAACTGATAGACTCTAAATGATGTTATTGGGGGATCCCTTCTAAACCAATCCTAAGGAAGTCTGCTTAAACTCTTATGAGTGTTAGCTACTTGGAACAGCTACCGCTAGAATCTAAAGAGAAGTTTGAATTCGAAAACATGATCGTTGGACAAGCGATTCCGTCTGGTTTTATTCCAGCAATTGAGAAACGTTTGAAAGAAGCTGCAAACTCGTGAGTGTTCTTTTATCTCTTTGGCCTTTTGGAAGCTCCTCTCCTGTTGTCACTGATTGTGTAAAATCTTATCTGATTCCATTGCAGGGGCTCACTAATTGGTCACCCTGTAGAGAATCTCAGAATAGTATTGACAAATGGAGCTTCGCATGCAGTAGATTCCGGTGAACTTGCGTTTAAAATGGCTGCAATATACGCGTTCAGGCTTTGTTACACAGCGGCAAGATCGGTGATTCTAGAGCCTGTCATGTTGGTTGAGTTGAAAGTACCAACAGAGTTTCAGGGTACTGTTTCTGGTGGCATCAACAAGTAAGATCATAGACCCTAAAGCCCCTAACAGTCACTTTCCTTCCTGATTCGTCCCGAAATTTTTCTCACTAGATTCCCTTTGGTCGGTGAGTTATCTTCGATCTCTTGTTTCAATCACAAACAGTAATCAACCATAATTATAAATTTCAATCAACAAAAGACCAAAATAAAAATACATGCTTCGAGGTAGACCTTAGCAGCAACCTAAACTTTGCTACAATTGTTTCATAATGATTGATTTGGGCTTTCAAATTGTAGCGAAGTTTAGGTTGCTGCTAAGGTCTACCTTGAAGCATGTATTTTTATTTTGGTCTTTTGTTGATTGAAATTTATAATTATGGTTGATTACTGCTTGTGAAATTCAGAGGGTTTCGTTGTCAATGCAGGAGGAAAATTGAAGATTTGGTCACAAGCAAGAGCTAAAGGGATGGACGAAAGTAATTTATCTTCTTGCCTCTCTTACCAACAAATAATTTGGTTCTTCAACTCTACAAATTTGTTCTTTTTTTTTTGTTAAGTTTAGTGGAATTCGTAATCAATGAGCAACATGCATATCTAGGGACAGAGTAGTTTTGCTTCTTTCTGAAAATTATATTTTTTTTTTCAAGTTTGAAGTTGTGATTTGGTATGCACAAATAGCATTTCTCTGAAGTGAGATTGAGATAAACGTTGTTTTGCCCTGTCTATGATGTTTGGCTGCGATCTACTACAAAGTTCTTAGAGAAGGAGATATACATCTAATTATCTGTTTGCTTTTCGAATATTTTTGGATTTATACTTCATTCATACATGTATAACTAAATATTGCATCGTTGATCATTGCAGATACTAAATCTGTATCCGGAAATGTTAGAACCGAGCTGGTAAAATTCATTGCTGATAGGCATGCCAATCTCATGAAACCAGCTGCTCGATATTATTCTACACTTAAAGGTAAGTACTACAATCTATTACACCATCTTAGTGCCTGATCTTCTCATGTGAAGAAGTCCTGCAGTTTTATGTTTACCCTTAATTGTTATAGATAAGATGTGTGATATATGAAGCATCCATGTCCTTCTTCCTGGTTCTAACTATGAACTAAGAAACACTTGTCTCTGTTTCCGTAGATGCTATAAGTGGGAAAAGAAGATATACACTTGTAAAAGATGCAGCCGACATGGAAACAGGAGTATATGACAAACCTCTTCCATGCTTTGGTTGTGGAATCGGGTGGTTCTCGTGAGTATATTGTTCTCCTGTTAAATTATTAAGACCAATCCTGATTTGATCTTTCACTTAACCTTCTGATTTCATTTCTTGTAATAATCACACTTTTGTGGTACTATGCTACATTTCTTCACTTTCCATTTCCATATGTTATCTAAAAGGTTATCAAATTCTAATTTATGTCAAACAATTAATTGCTTTTGTTCAGCCTATAACAGAATATGTATTAATAAAATTAGGTGCGAAAAATAAGACTACAAAAAATCTATGCCTCCAAATTAGAAATCATTGGTGTGTAGAACCAAACTTGGAAGCAAATGAAAAGCATGTTATATTATGAAGACAAAAATGTCAGGTTTTTATACTTCTTCTACTAATTTTAGTGTATGTGTCAATGAATAATTTAACAATAATAACATATTGGTTAAAATTTGTTTTAAAACTAAGATTTTTATTTTTTTACATATTTTTTTTGTAAACTGTTGAGTTTAGTGACATCAAACAATTATTATAATTTTTTAAGTGATCATTTTTTCTTTTTAGTATTATAATCAGTTGCTGGTTTATTTTTCAAACTAGAAATTTTGATTTTTTTTTTGTAAATTTAAGTTATTTATTTTTAGTACAAAATTATAAAAATATTTTTCTTCTTTTTTATAAGTTCAAAACAAAGAAATTTAAAGAAAACTTTACTATGAATTTTATTTTAAAAAATAACATATAAAACTATAAACGAGGTGTTAATAATATTTATATAGTTAACAATCTTAAAATTATTCTATCAATTTATTTAAAATAAAATTATATAGTAAATACAAATCTAAAATGATATAATAAAATATAATTCCGTGTCTATAATTTTTATATATACCTCATATTTTATTAATATATATAGTTTTATAATTCAAACATATGAAGTAGATGAATATAGTAAATTATTATCAGCTTTATATTATATATAATATTTTTTTATCTATTTTTTTCATTTTTGCAATCAATAAATTTAAATTTCCAGTTTTGGAAGTCAATAAATGCAAAATTAATACAAAAGTTTGTAAAAAAAAATTAAATAATATAGATAAGTGATCATCAAAATTCAGATGATACTAATTTTGATTAGACACAACTTAAAACAATTTTAGGGTATTAAAAAAAGTAATTTTTAACCAAATTTTAAATTAAAAACTTAAAAACTAATAAAAACAAAGAAATTTAATATATAAAATAATATTTAAAACTACAAGGGAAAGAGTATTTATATTAATTTTAACAATATTTGTAAATTTAATAATTTCAAAAATATTTTATCACTAATTTTAAAATAAAATACCATGTTACCAATAACTCTAAAAATATATAAAACGTAATCCCGCGTCTACACGCAGGTAATCCCACGTGTACACGCGGGTCATCACCTAGTTTTATATAATAAGATGGTATTTTTTATTATATTTCTTTTTCAAATTTACTTTTTTATTTATTGATACTTTTATTCTTTTTATTGAATATATATTTTTGAGAGCTATGGACTACAAATTTCTTATTCGACAGTTATGACAGGTTCTAATATTCTAAATCTATCTATAGTTAGTGATACCAATAAAAATTGATCAAATTTTTTTTTTGTCTCATTGAACTAAAAGAATATAACGAAACGAGGTCTAAAGACAAAAATATGAAGTTGGGCCACAAGAATTTCTTTAACAATGTATGCTTCTCTTATATCATGTTCTATTTGTTTTTGTAAAAAACAAAACCTGTGCATAGTGTGGATCTAAAATCTAGACAAAATTTTGGTGACTAAATTGAGTTGTTAGGAATTGGTTTGAAAGGAAACTTTCCCAATTTCGGACAAAAAAATGATTTATTTTGTTGTCCAAAGAAAAAATAAATAGACTCTAAACCAAATCAAATCAATTTTCGTTTGGGATATAATTTTGGATTTGCTAACATAAACCGATTTTTGCTGTAGCTTAAAACAAATTTGTGAAAAAAAATCCGTGTAAGGTGCACGAATCCAAAATCTAGTTCATAATTAATATAAAGTCATTCAATATTATTTTTTCAGTACTGTAACCAAATGTCTCGGCACATTGATACAGTAAGTAATACTAGAGAATCCAAAAATATTTTTTGATTCATAAGCATAGAATCAACCCAACTAGATCAAAAATGCTAGATAACAACCAACAAGAATACCTCAAGATTCGTAGCCAAAAAAAAAAAGAATGCCTCAGGATCTCGAAAAGTTGTGAGTGATTGATCCACTCTCTTTGTAAGTTACAAGGAAGAAGTTGAACTATGCTGGTTGTCTTTAAGAGTTTGGTGAACAACTCTTTCGGAAAAATGACATATCATGATTTTTATAGATTTTTTATCATGATATAAACTTTGTTTATAGAGTCTTTTGGTATTTTTCGAGTTAGTTTCAAATTTTTACAGGTTCAGATACGTTTGGAGTATAATTGGAGATTTGAAAGTATTTTGAAGCTATATTGAAGTTGTTGCTGAAAAGACCAACTCAGAGACAAATTTGGTGTTTGGTGTCGACTGAGACCAACCATTAGTGTTGATCAACACCGATCGTGGACGCAAAGTGGAGTTTTAAAAGATCTCTAAAGAATTGAAACTTGGCTCATAAGTTTCTCATTATTTGTAAACTTTCCCCACTCGTGTTTTAGACGTGTATTTAGGTTAAAGGATCCATTGTTAGGCCATTATCTTATTTTCATTGAGACTTAGAGAGAAATTAGATCATAAGCTTTGGAGAGACAAATTCGTACTCTGTTAGAGAAGAATTTCGAACCCCTTTATATCTTTACTCTATTCTTTTAAGCAATTTATTTCAGCTATGATTTGTGTTTCAATATCTATGTATGAGTAATCTGCTAGTTAGGGTTTGGGTTATTCAAGGGTTGAATAATGAATCGTTAGAAGTGCATAACTATTGGGATAAATCTTTTGGTTCTTCATTTAGATTGTTTTAACACTGGTTTTAAGATTGATCACCTAGATATCAGATCTTAGGTTGTTTAATAGATGTGGAAACATTGTTAATCACCATAACTATCTTGGATGAGCAAAATATCTAATCGCAAAGGAATTTGGGTTAGAAATTTTGTGAACAATCGAACTTGAACTTTAATGCTTGTTTAAATTGTTTGAATTTGAAATTCTAGGATTTAATGATAGATAATCTCTGCAATGGAAGTTGATTAGTTTTACATTCATGTTTTCGAGTTATAGAACGGTTTTAATAAGTTATCCTAACAGTTTTCATTGTGCGATTTGAGTCTACCTACGAATTTCCCATTGCCTAGCGTCTTATCTCTTTGATTTTAAAAATCTACAAACTACCTGCTGCTTTTACTTGATTGTTTCTTTTATATTAAATCGATTTCGCTTAGCTAAATTTGATCCTAAAATCTTCTCTGCAATGATCTTAAGTCTCTTGGAATTCGATAACCCTTTATATTACAACAGCTTTGCTATATACTTGCAGTGATTTATCTGGATGAAACAAAAGTCCTATCAAAAAGCATAAAACATCTTCACCATAGAGAGTACCTCTCTCAAACTGACTTAGGCTAGAGAAACTTGAAGTCTCATTACTCTCTTCAACAGTTTCAGGAACTGTTATAGCAGGTAAGCACCAGAGTGGCTTAGGTGGAACATGGAAAGCCACTATACTCCCCTCTAACATTTCAATGAGTTTGATCATTGCCGGACGATCAGATGGATTGGTCTGAATACACCATAGACCAACCAAAACCATATCCTTTGCAATTTTCTCTTCTTCTTTGGTTATCCGATCTCCAAAAATCCTCATGATTTCTCCCTTCTCAAAATCCTTATAGATCTAATCTGGAAAGTACATTAATGACCTATTGTTGGATCCAGCATTTTCTAACTTTTCTTTATTCCTCCCACCAATTTTTCTCAAGAACTATCATTCCATAACTATACACATCTGACTTATTCGAAACTCCTCCAAAATTATGAGAAAATACTTCAGGAGCAATGTATCCTGCTGTTCCTCTCTCTATCATTGATATATTGCTCTCTTTATTTTTGTATAACTTAGCAAGACCCAAATCTGAAATCTTGGGACAAAGATCTTTGTCCATGAATATGTTCTGCGGCTTTATGTTGAAATGCACAATCCTTGATACACAATGATTGTACAAATACTCTATGCCACGAAAGACACCTACGGCAATGTAATATAAGTTTTCGAAATTTATCTTTGCTGACATATTCTCAGAAATTGATGTGGGCATCAGTAGCAAACAAACCCTCTTAGACGTTGGAGGATATTCAAATACCAAACTGGAGTTAAGCTTCCTTGTAGCTGAGGAGAAGGAGAAGCTTGTAGCTGTGCTTGAAGCTGCTGAGGACTTAATCTCTAAACGCCATCATTCTGATCATCAAAAGGAGTATTCTGATCAAGCAAAAGACGAGCTGGTTCAATACAATTTGCCATTTAACCAAGGAGAACCGCCAAACCATTTCATATCTACATTGGAGCCGTTTATGGAAACTCAGCCTATATGTTATACTAACATATCATGCGACCAACTCTCATCATCTGCTGAAGCTAAGAAGCCTTCTAAATCACCCCTGGTTCAATACAAGTCGTCACTTAACCAAGGAGAACCATCAAATTTCCTTAAACCATTAAATGGAGCCACATTGAAGCTAACTAAGGACAGAAGGGATCACATGACATTATATTTGCCCCACCACTACATTCGACCACCAAGAGCCATTTCAGTGTATACCAAGATTCCTACACCACCTGACCAAGCCAATAACAGAGTTCAAACCAACCAAAACCGAGAAGATATCAAAGGAGAGCTACTTACCAAAATCGGAACCAATTTCATTAGTTTAAGAAGAGAAGATGGAAACAAAGACCAAAGACCAGAAAATCACATTAACCTCGATCCCTCAGTCAAGCTACTTGATTCTACATATCCATTTCGTGCCAAAGACCATCAAGAATTCCCCCATTCAGCGCCAAAGACAAGAACCTTTCCATTTAAGCCTAACGGCTAGTAAATCTTTTCCCATCACTTTAGCTTGATCTTTGCTATGTTTTAATTATTGTTACCGTTTTGTTATCTCACTTCTGAGAATTATATAAGCTCTTCATCATTGTATTTTCATACTCAGAATTATTAAAGAAATTAAATTTTTTTTTGTAAGTTTACAAAGAAAGTTCTTTGCAACCAACATTGTTCC